AGTGGAATTTGGATATCTTTGAAAATCTCAGCCTTAACCCAAAATGTGTTGATACTCGGATGCTCTGATGAACAGGACACTAGACAGACTAGAGTGGAAGACAGTTAACCATAGTTACTTTGAAGTCTTAGATAGCACTGTATTTTTCTTGAATTAATTTTCTTGCTCAGCTTCTTCCAGGACTGATGGTTTTGCTAAGTTCACAGAATAACCCTTTTCTAGCAACTCAACAGCATTAGGTCCATTGGCCTCTTTTTAGTTCTCCCCTACAATGGCAACAACTCAGAATCATCCAACTCCAGAGATGTGACAAGGCTCCAATTCCCAAGACAGTCTGAGCACTAGTCTCAGAAGTGGTACAAACCACACACCGCTCTGAGGCAGTGAGTCATCTGACTCTTAAGGATGCTGCATTAATATTACCAGAAAGTTGATTAATTCATTTAAACACCACATACAATTTTCAAATAATTTCCAGATCCAGGGGGAATTTGTGATTTTGTCATTCCCACACATCCCTGCTGCGAATTAACCCTTTCCAGTGATTCAGTCTGAACAGAATTACCCATCTCCCTATTCTTGATGCTTTAAGGCAGCGATTCTTGTGTACTGGTGACCCCTTTCACATAGCAAGCCTCTGAGTGCAACCCCCCTTATAAATTAAAAATTTTTTAATATGTTTAACACCGTTCTAAATGCTGAAGGCAAAGAGGGGTTTGGGGTGGAGGCTGACAGCTCTCGACCTCCACATAACCTCACAACTCCCTGAGGGGTCCTGACCCCATTTGAGAACCCCTGCTTTAAGGCATGTATTCCTTTGATATGTACAATTAGCTCCATCACCCAAGTCCAGACACTGTATCCAGTGGTACTATAGACTAGGATAAGTCCACTAAACTTCTCTTCACTTGTGACCTAAGGCCCATTTCAGTTGAAGTATGAAGAGGTGGAACATTATATTGTCTACATACTTCTACTACTTATCTCCACTGGGATTCTGTTGGATATTTTTGAGCTATACAAATTCAGTGGATGAAATTTGTTCCTGATGTAAGCTCACTGAAGTCGATGGACTTAAATACATGAATTTGGTCCACTTTGTGTTTCCATGGAATTTGAACGACATGATGATAAAAAGGCACGTTTATTGTGAAGGATCAAAGAGAGAAGACAGTTGTCTAGATTGCATCATGTTCTGGAAGTATTTTCCCAGGAGTCCAAGATATTCAAGTCTCTTTCGTGACTACTGTTAAATGACTGGATTTCCATAATGTGGACAGATATCCAAATATAACTGATTCCGAAAACAAACGTGCCAGAAACAAGACTCTTCCTATCTGGTGCAAATGAAACCTTGATTTCTTGGTCACATATGCTGCTGCTAAATTGATTCACTTCAGATTAAGAGGTGATTGTTGTGGCCATGGGAGGAGTTGAAAGCTACACGTTTTAGACAAAACTGACACTTCACATATTACGTTAAAATTTTCATTTTGCCTTCATTCAGCTGTTTCAAGTCCTACATTCAGCCAATGCCAAAACAAATCAGAAGTTATTTTTACCCATACTTCATAGTTATTATGGTCTTGATTATAACTTCTCTGGTTCATATGCGGGGAAAGCCACACAATGGGACTGAATATATAAGAAAAACCTTTTTATGCAACAGCCAACAAATAGAAACAAAGACAGATTTCAGTTATTTTACTCTGTTTAACATGCAGATACCATGTCTTGATTTTAGGCTCAAACAGAATTACACTCCATTTCTAATTCAAATGTATGCTCACATAGGAGGCACATTAGTGTACCAACATGGGTTATTGATTCAAGTCTGTCATAACAGAAATAGTGTGTGCCTAGGGACCCCAATCAGAAAATCAAGACCCCTTTGTGCTAAGCACTGTACAAACAAGTAACAAAGAATTCCTTCCTCATCGATCTTATAATTTCTGGGCCAGAGCACACTCAATATACGTATTAACCATTATCAAACATAAATGGAGGCCCCAAAATACTCTCCTCCTTCTGATCAGTTTGGAAGACAGTGATCATGAGCAGAAACAGCATGGGGGATGCTCCTAAATCAGCGTAATCTCCTCTGGACTAACCTGCAAGAAAGCCTATTTTTGTGAATTTCCATTGCAAGTTTGCAGATGCAAGAAGTTGGGAGATGCTTCCCCGACACTCCCACCTTCAGAGATTTTGCCCAAGAAGGAAAAAGAGTGTAATTATAAATTTGCTCAGATGTAAACCACCATAATCTCCTCCTGCTGTCACCAATATCATAAAGGTAACAAAATAAAATGCACAATTACCCATAGATCTCT